CAAGGCAGCGTCAGGGTAGCTCTCTGGCACGATGTATACCAGCCCGAGTTTAAAAACATGTGCAGTATACATTCTCCAAGTTTCTGGCCTCATCTCATGGGGCCACAGCACTTGATGTGCACTTTACTGCGTGCTGTGCCCACCACATTGTGGCTAGCTATCAACACATACTGACATAGCTCAGCTACAGAGCTTCACTCACTCTATTGCGTGGTCGTGTTTGGGCTTTCATACTACAGTCCCTCTCTAAGCCCAGTTTCACCAGTCAGCTTTTTGGTTGTGCAAATTGTATTACGAATAGCTCACTACTCAGTGATATTGCAACTCGTCGTGACTAATCACTCGACTAAAAAATCGGTCCACGCTATGTGACCTACTTCAACGTGTTGCAGCTAAAGCATACTTGACAATGTTAATCCAACACATAATGACTAAGATAACCACAGAATCAAGGAAAAACCTTAATTTAGTAAAAGTATAGTCATTATACTGAGGGGTATATGTGTATACACATTAGCTTCAGCGTCGCTTTCCTGACGCTTCTAGCGCTTCGGGGGACGCTCAAGCTTAGTGTCTTTGACTGCCGCAACGTACTGTTGCACTAACGTAATCACGTTTTTGTGCAGTGCTGCTAGAGGCTCCCATGAGTCCTCTATTGCCTTCAACCCATGCCGCCCTACAAGGATCTCGTAGGCTCGGCTCGTGTTGTTCCACCGATGCCGAAGTAGCTCGTGCACGCGAAGGATGATACCCTGAGCAGCCACGTGCTCCAGGAGCTCCTCAGTCACCTCGAGGTCCATGTCAGCGAAAAATTTGAGTCTCGAGACATGCATGTCAAACTCTACGGCAGTAACGAGGTGCTTCACCTTGAAGACGTTCTGCTGTTGTGCTTCGGTGACAGCGTAGGGTCCAATCCATGTGACGAGTAGCTTGCTCTGTCCTTTCGCAGCCACACGTGATCGCAGTACATAATCACCCACATTGAAGTTGACCACGTTATCATTTCGTGCATTTTCTTGTTCAGTAGTGTCTGCTTGAGGCGGGCATCTGCAACTTCCCTGTGCACGTCTCTCACACTAGCTCGTAGTTGAGCCAGACTTGACTCGATCTCGGCCGAGGTTCGAGTCGGTTGTACACTGGGAGTCACATTTGGTCCCAGGTATACAGCCTTCAGAGGCGAAGGGAGATCCAGTCCGGCGAACGGCTCACCCGGTGTCTTGCCTGCCAACGACGGTACGGCAGTGTGGTTGAGATTTGCCTGTACAATAGGAATTAGCCTTGGCCAGACCCTGTAGTTGAGTTTGTAGTCTAGAAAAGTACCCGCAAAACTTACCCGTTCCACACATCCGTTATTCATGGACTGTAGGTCGGCGAAAAGATTTGCTTGCACTTCAACCTATTGCACAGCTCGTCGATCACTTTATTCTTGAAGTGAGTCCCTTGGTCACTAATCCAGTTTTTAGGCACTCCAAATCTGCTGTGCCAATCCATGATGGCATCAGTCGCCACTACACTTGTTGAGGTCTCACAATTTACAAGCTCGCAGCATCGTCTTTGAGCATCTGTAGATACTGCAGGTCACCATAGGTTTCACCTACGTAGAGAAAGGCCCAGTGTAGCTCTTGATTTCGCTCACTGCATCGGTAGGTTTCATTTCAGGGCCTTGGCACCACCTTCCCCCTATTACATGATGGCACACGAGGCAGCTTGCCAGAAACCTGTCCACGCATAGTCGAAGGGAAGGCACGTAAGTAATGCGGCCTAGGTGTGCCAGCATAGCATCCCGGCCTCGATGTCCTTGAGGGCCGCAGTGTGCGATAATGCACAAGCGGCGGAGCAGATTTGTTATTTTCGCTAGAATGTACAGTCGATTGGTCCTGCGTCGAATCCCGGCATCACCTTCCTGCATGCGCTGCATCTCAGACTTGTCCCCGAGTTTGCGCTGGGCATCTGAATTGAAATCTAGGTCAGGCCATACAAAGCCTTCGGCGTCGAGTGGCCGTAGTGATAGACGATCATGTTGCTGTTGTACACGGGTTTGACCGTTGCGTATGCTAAGGAACTTGGTGGTCGAGCCCACCGAGTTACCATATCAGCCCATACGCTGTCCTCGCCTGCGATGTGAAGATGTTGTATCGAAATTCATCAAGACGCATTGCCCACCTCAGTAATTTGCTACGGATATGTTTCTTCACATTGTCGCTCGGAGCGAACACGTTAATAAGATTTTGTGGTCACTATATAGTCAAAAATCACGCGGGCGGAGAAGGGGGTTTGGCCAGCTTGGCGCATGCTGCCACAATGGCAAAAGCCTCCTTCTCAATTACGCTTCTGTTAGCTTGCGATCCTGTAAATGTACCACTCAGACTGAGACGAAGACGATGATTTTGCTCTCAAACAGGTTGATCTCCTCTCCATGTCTCCACGTCGGTCACTATCACACTCCACGCTTCGTCGGAAGTATCGGTGAACACTGAAAGTACTCCGTCTGGACCTGGATGTGCCAACATTGCAGCGTCGGCGAGGCACGCTGTGACTTTATCGAAAGCAGTCGTTTGTTTCTTAGTAAAACTGACTGGTAATCGAGCTGAAACCCGCTTAGTTCGTTTTCCATTTCCCAGAGTCAGGTCAAGGCACGTCTGCAATGCTTTCACATTGCCTGCATAGTCTACGAGACTGTCGCGCATCCAATTGCACGCGCACATAAGCTGCTCCAAATATCCCTTAGTAGACGGTAATGACATGGCAATGCCGCGATTCGCTCAAGGTCATGGCGAACGCCTTCGCCGTCAATAATCTTGCCGCACCACTTGACAGAACGCTGGAAAAGAGAGGACTTGGCTGCGCTCAGCTTAAGTCCGAGCTCATTCACCGGCGAGAGCAGTTCGTCAAGTTTCTCCAAATTCGTATATACGTCCTCTGCATACAGTAATAGATCGTCAATCCATGCAAGCAAGCGCTTGTAAAGCAGTTCAGCGAAACAGTGCTCCATTGTCCTCTGCAAATGCAGGGCGGCGTCACTACAGCCTTGCGGAACGCGCGTGGGTGTGTAGACCTTGGCATCCGTCATGTAGCTCAGGATCCCTTGGCTTGCTTTGGCGAGAGGCAACTGCCAAAAGCCTTTGATGAGGTCGAAAAGGCTAAAGAAAGATATCCACGCACGCGCTCAGTTATCACTTGAAGAATTGGCATGACACCCGCAATCGGCTCCGTTTCCGCATTAACGGGTCGATAGTCACTCGTCTGGCGAAAATCGTTTTTACCTGGCTTCTTGATCGGTAGAGCAGGGCACGCCCACCGAGTTAAGCCGTTCTCGAATACACATCCGAGACGGACCAACTCATCGTTAAACGCCTGCAGCAATTTCCGTATGAGCGGCGGGTACACTCTCGGCTTACACCGAAATGGCGTAGCACCCTTCGTCAGCTCGAATTGCCAATGGCAGGACCTTCGCAGATGA